CCAGTACTTTTAATGGGTAAAAAAAAATATTTTTCTTAAATTCTAACAATGACATCTATTTTTAATAACAGGAAATTCTGTTTAAATGTGGAAAGTTAGATCAAAATCTAACATCATCAAATATTTTCCCTTAATAAATTATGCTATTTGCCTGCTTTTGCAAAGTACCTTCATAACAATTATAAATTGTACATTTGATATTACAATAAAGTAAAACACAAATAATACATTCAAAAACCCAAAGAAAGAAGTAAATGTAAAATAAATCAATAACACAATGCATTTTGAATGACATAGTGCAGAGACTGTTTTAATAGACTGGCAAATCAGAATACTGTAAGAGAAGATTATAATAAAATACATACCTACTATAAAATGTTTAGGGAATTATACCATCATGTTTTATGTGGGAAATCCAAATTTGCTCTTTAAAATGTAGGGAAATGCCAAATAAGTCCAACATAAAGCATAATAAAGCTCTTCGTGTAGTTAAATTCGAAGAGATCCTGAATCCCAAAAAGTGCAGACTTTTCTTACAGCCCCCTGATATAGTATTCTTGTTTTCTACTCCATCTGGGCTTAATATATTGGCTTTTGGTATTTGGATTACATCAGGATCACCCAGCAAGCTTTGTAGAAATGCAAATTTCTACCCTTAATCCCAGAAATTCTGACTGAGTTGGATGGGTCCCCATAGCATGAATTCTATGGGATTTTGTAAGAATCCCAGGTAATTATTGTAGAATCCACAGACCATACTTTGAGAGAACTTGGTCAATTTGGTACTTAAATTCATGTTGAACTCACATTGACATGTTCAAACTGAATATAAATAATTCTCACCTTGCTTGACAAGTAAGCCATAACAAAATATAGTAAGATGAACATACTGCATATTTTTTCCCCATGGATTTTACCAATCTATAGATATCAGCAGATATAAGAATAATTAAACTACTTGCTGAGAAGCAGATTCTCATTAGCCTACAGGAAATGTGCAGACAATTTAAATTGCTTGATTTGGTCCCAGGAATATGTACAATGTTGTATTACCTTTGGGTAATATTAAACTAACTTTATACTTGCATAGCTTTCATATTTTCATGTGCTGCCTGGCTGGATGTCAGTCCGATTTCCAGCAAGGTCCGATTGATTTAGTGGTTCAACAAGCCCGCCAAAAAAGGTCCCCTTGCCTCTCTTCCACCATTCATGAAGAACCAACCTACAAATCACTTGTCAACAACTTTGATCTACCTTGTTTCAGGTGGTTTACTCTCTGTCTATTATTTCTGCTAAGAGACCCGTGAAAATTAAATACAGACCCCGCTGATGCTTGACTGACCCGGTGCTCCATCATAACAGCAGTGTAATAGCAATAAATCATTTCAACTTTAATCTATTGTTATTGATGAATGTACAATTATTTGTCATCTAATATGCTGAAAATGATGACCAAAGAAATAGATCAACTTTTTTTCTCCTTCCAAGTGCGGCATTGATGGATTGTATCCCTAAGCTGTTATTACACTTATAATGTACTCCTCTGTACTGACAGCACAGCTAGTTTTTTAATCATTCCATAGTAATCAACTTAAGACAACATAGCAAGACTCATAACTCATGTTCTTTTCTTTTTTGGCAGTGATGGGAAATGAAAATGTTTTTATTCTTCTGAAATAATTCTTACCTGACTAGGCTGAAGATTGCTTTAAAATTGTAAATAAATGGTTGTTTATTGAGCTGGAACTGAAACGTGACATATTAAAATGTCTCTTTCCAAAGGGGGAAAAATTATTTAGGCCTGAGTGGAGAGAGACAGAGAAAAAAAATTTTTTTTTCCTTTTAACTGGTTCATTGCTAACTTGATACCTTAGGGGAATATTTTAGTAAAGCCAATGTTATTGGCCAAAATGTTATGGGCAAATATGACAATGTTAAAGTAAGCAATAATAATTCCTCTGAAAGTACTACTCTACTGTAGTATTACTTTTGCCTATCTTCCTTCATCAGTTTTGCCTATCTTCTTGTGTATGCTTCCATTACTAGCCCAGGTGACAGGTAAAGTAAGGTGAACCACAGAGATCTGAAACAAAATAGAATTGTCATTGAACCAAATATTGACTCAAGATAAAGTGTCCTCTTAATCCAACAAAATGTACAACAACCTAAGTATAAGGTTGAACATCTTGGGGCCAAAACTGTATTAGCCTTAATCCTTCTCATAACTTGTATCCATGTCATGAGAAAAAATTCTTGAAAATTTGTGCTAATCTCTGACCTAAGTTTCTCTTTTGACCATATGAAATAGGAATAATTTTTCCTATAACTAATAAAAAGATTAGAAGTGACATTGCTGGGTCTAAGTGTCAAACTTTTGATTCTCATAGAGAGCTCTACTTTTATGCATTATTCACTAGATTCTGGTTAGAAAACAGTCATTTTCTTAGATTCTTAAGGCTGGGGTATATTGTAATTCGGGGATAGATCATGACTTAATTACATATAATCTAGTGCAGTGACACTTGAAGCAAAGTCTGTAGACTAGCAACACCCTGGAGGTTTTTTGAATGCAAATGTGTAGGCCCAACCCTCTGAGTCTGATTGGGGGGCGATTATAGAAAGTGTTTAACAAGTCTCTGGGTGAGTACTGATTATATTAGGTTTTCTCTCTTTATTTTATTATTACTATGAGGGGGTTCAGGATGAATTTATCAGAGGATGTTCCCACTGTGAGTCAGAAGAAGGTCGTGAAGAGCATGACTGAATTGACATCTTGGCATATGGCGCATTCTATATGCAACCCATATGCGTTTCTTCTCCCTGAATTGTCATACTGGTAAAATGGAAAGAAGAATAGTGCCTATTCCCATAAGGTTGCTGAGATCATCTAGCATCTAATCAATCAAATATTGCTCTTTCATTAATATTTAGAGAATATTTTAGAAGAATTTAAAATGCCTGGGACAGGAGAATGACCTGTAAGGAAGTGGACAGTTGTTCTGTAATGATTATTGTTATTATTAAAAAAAAAAGAAATTTTTCAATTTAAGAAGGCTGGATTGAAAATAATGTTTTATTCTTGCTAAATGATTGTGAAAATAATGAAAAACAAAAAGAACTGCAGTTCTCAAATTATGTTTGTCAAATCCCTGGTCTTCAAAAACAAACAAAACAAGACAAAGGCAAGTGATTTTTCAGCCTTTAGATCACTACATGTTGGTTCATCCTGCCACCTACAAAGCACAGTTTTCCAGAGTGAACCTGGTCCTCACTTATCTGTTTTAACTGTCTGATTTATATCTGGTCAGCCTCAAATAAAAATCTGTTAGGGAAAATCGATTCCAGTTTTAAAGAGTGAGAAAGATAAAATATTTTTATAGAAAGGTGAGAGCTCTAAACGGTCCACACTGAGATGTGGGACTTGGGCCAAGGAATAAGCTGTTTCCTACAATAGAAGAAGACAACTGGAGACTCACAAATAGGGGACTTCCTATAGCCACGATGTGATAAATGAACAGTCCACATGTGATTTATGCCATAGTTTGTCATACCTGCCCCTATTCTTCTTTTACCCACTCATGATAAATATATAGTATGGTGTAGAGTCAATGATTTTCTGAAGTTGTATTAATTAGTCACTCTGAAATATCAAATATTAATTTGCTTTATTCTTTAATGGGTCTTCTCCTTAATCATTTCCTTTCCTTTACTATTTTCTGTAATATTCATACTTTCTAAAGTGGCAAAAATTTGCATCCTATTCACTTTCAGAGAAAGCATAGGAACTAGAATTAACTCCCTTAACTTCACAATTTTAAAAAACAGACATATTTTATGGATAATACTAACAAGTCATGATTGTGACTGTATTTTTATTGTGCAATTCTGACTAACTTTTAATACATTTTCTCAATACTCTTAGAATTTTCTATATTTTTTCCCTGGTCTTTGATTTCTTTGCAGATTATAAGACTTTGCAAGTAGAATCTATTTTGTCATGTTATACCCATACTTATTAACATCTTATTTATTTGGCTTCATCGGCATAAGTCACACCACTCAGATTGTTATGTGTGAATTTTAGTATGACAAGGATTATTGAGAATAGGTCAAAAGAGACCAAGTACTGGTCAGTAGAGTGCTACTTGTACTCCTTTTTTAAGCCAAAAAAAATAGATTCTTCTTTTTAATATCATATATAATTAAACAATAATTTTGCTTTAAGTACAAAGTTATTTGGAAACCTAACTTTTTAAAATTTCACTTTGTAATTAATAGAACAATGGAATCAAAGAATCTCTATTTTCTTTATCCTGAAAATGTTTGTTCATTATAAGAAGACTTCAATATAAAAAAAATCAAAATGCTTTTTACCCAGACAAAATCATTGTTTGCCTATGTGTTCTATATACATACTCAAATTTATTTCTAAAGGTTTTTTTCCTTATTGATCAAAAAGGAAAAGGTAGAGGACTAACTACTAGCAAGTTATCATTTATCATATACATCAATTCATGTATGGATGAGGAAAGTAAAGGAACAGAATGAGCAGGTGGGTATTCTTCAAGTTTTTCAATTTTCATATAAAGCTGCCAATGTGCAAGATCTAAAATACTTGAAGAATGCTTCAAAATGTTAGCACAAAATATCATCAGGGTGCCAGGTCCTCAGTGTTAATAGCCTCCACAGAATTCACAGTACAAACTACTAACTCTCAAAATAACAAGGATTTTTTGAGTAATTTTTCTGTATCAGCTGTTCTGTTGAGTTCTTTATATACATTAAACATAATTACTCTTATTTAATATATCTAGAAATTAATTCTTGAGACACAAATAATTCCCCCACTGTTAATAAAAGGCAAAAACTGAGTTAAGAGGTGGTAGGTCAACTTCAACAGCTGTTGGGTTGAAAACAGTAATTGAACATCAAATATGGAAAATACTTTTCCAAAGAACTCAGACTTCCCTGTTGTTATAGTGAAACCACTGTTTATTTTTTTCTTAATGGACAATGAATGGAAGTGATGTGTCTCATTTCCCGCCAAGGGAACTTCCAAGCTTCTTTCTGTTACAGATTTTTGGAGGCATCTTCCAGATGGTGAAACAGCAGAAGAGTCCATCCGTCTACATTAATCACTCAGGATTTCCTGTAGAAACATTATCAAAAACTAGGTGGATTAAACAATAGACATACATGGCCTCACAGCCCTGGAGGCCATACCCTGAAATCAAGGTATTAGAGTCATACAATCTCTGAAGAAAATCCCTTCCTAAGTTTTTTGCAGTCTCAAGCATTATATAATTATATAATCTGTCTTGTAAATAGTCATCATCTCCCTATGTCTCCTTAAAGTATCTTCCATCTGGTTATGGCTGTCTCTGCATACAAATTTTCTTATTTTTATAAGGACACCAGTTGTATTGGATTAGAGCCCACCCCAATAATCTCATCTTGACTGTATCTACAAGGACCTATTTCTAATAAGTTTACAATTTGAGTTACCAGGTATTGAGACATCAATATGTATGTTGGGGGGATACAACTTAACCCATAACACCTTCCAACCTGCATTAGGCATGTGTGTCTTTCAACACACTTACATTTGAGGGCAACATTTTAGCATAGGATTGCTTTGTTCTTTACTTCTTCTTATGCTGTATTTGTTCATTCTATGTCATGCCACCTGTGATTACCACCTCTGATTTTTTCCAGATCTTCTATTTCCATGTCATGACTGCTTACCAAGATGAATAAAACCACAGATGAGCATCATACCAAAATTCTATATGCACCATCTTAGTTAAATACTTGTGCTGGTCATTGGTCAAACATTTTCCCATTTTTTTGTTATGGGCCTTCCTTTCAAAACCCATAATCAACACAAATTTCCTATTTTTCTTCCCTGTGAAAATGTCAGTCATAATAGTTATGGTAATCCAATGGCTCTGTGAGATATACATTAGAAATGATCAACATAATGATGAAATTTGAAGTTTATACTTGGGAAGATAAGGATTTCCATAGTATGGGTCCTAAATATTTACTTCTCAAGACCAAGTCTTCTCTCCTCCCCACATCTGGAATGAGGAACATAATCAGAGACAGGAAACACTGTACATGAACATTTTTAATCTCCCTGTTCTACCACACACATTTGATGCATCCACCACACCACTGATATTTTGAAAGAAAAGTTCATATATATGATTGAGTCAGTTATCAACATTCACTTTCCCTTCTGATAGAACTGAGAGTAACAAGAACATTTGTTGCTATAATAAATTATTCTGAAACTTCATTGGACTGATATGTCAACGTGAACATATTTCTGATTAGTGATGATTTCATGAGGCAAACTCCCTCTCTCCAGAGGCTCTACCTTCCTCTTTGCGGAAAGAGAAATACAGCCCCTTCAGTGGGAAGGCATTTCACCAACAGCTCTGTACCAGTGTTCAGTTAGATCTCTGCCTCGAAGCTCGCTGTACATCACCTCCTTTATGGCATCTACTGTACTAAATTATAGCCTGCATTCTATTTGCTTTTTCATATTTGTCTTCTAAATAGACTGTTAATTTATTGTGAGAACAAATAGATAATCACATTTTCTCATAGCCTAGAATTGTACCTGACAAATGGTAAGGACTGTGTACAAGTATATTTCATTCAGTTATTAGATTAAGCCAAATTGTTTGGTTCTGCTAGGATTTCTATTTCCAGTATCCTGTGACTTCTGATTCTTAAAATCAAACAAGCTTTTTTTTAAAAAAAAAGGAACCCAAAACATTTGTAGTTATCTGATCCCTTTTTTAGATCTAAAAGGTAGTTAACTAATATTCATAACTGAGCTCATTAAGCAGTGGGCCTAAAATCACTATTCAAATCTATGTTGCCAGCAGCATCTAAGTGCTCAAGTTCTCAGGAGAAGACTGAGGCATACTTTGTGTATTAGTAAAGTCTGATAACAACCAATTTGTATATTACTATTTCCATTATTTGAAGCTCGATATTGTTTCTAAAAGTTTGTATAATAATGAATGTTTCCTATTTTATTTATTGCTTAGAATAGTTTGGGCTGTGGCAGTCACATTCATCATAGAAGAACAAAAAACTGCTCAAATCCTGGGAGCACTAAGATAGAAAAAGGAAATTCTGAATACTCAGCTGCATGAAATCTCTCATGTTAAAATTTATTTTAAGATTTTATGATCAGTTTATATTTCATTATGTATGGTTCCACATTTTTATTTGTTTCCACATGTGTTAGCTATAATGAATTGCTGTAATTAGTATCGATTGCAATATAAGAAAAATAAAGAAGTTAAAGCTATCTTGAGGCCACTATAGCTCAAAATTGGGGCTGAAATGTCCCAATTCCTCTTTTCCATGTTGTATCATTAAAACATTCTACAATTAATAAACAGACTTTTTAAAGAAAGCTAATCACAATGTTGATGAAATTAATTCTGAATTATAAATCTCAGTATAAAATAATATCAAATGCATGTCAGTTGTCATTAAGCCAATGATATTGAAATATTTGGGGATAGTTGTTTTATAAATTTGAATTATGGTTGCCCAAGTTTTTTATTTCCCCCCAAACATCAACAACTCATCTTTTCACAATGATCTAAATGCCTTAATCCCAATTTAAACTCCACAGCAGATGTTGATTTACAAGTCCCAAATTCTGATCAGCAAAAATATAACTTTTTTTAGGTTGATCTTTTTTTAAATTTTTTTATTAGTTGCTCAAAAGATTACAATGATCTTGACATATCATACATTTGATTCAAATGGGGTACATAATCTTATTTTTCTACGTGTACAGATTGCAGGATCACATTGGTTATACAGCCAAAAATATAAATAATATTTTTTATTCTTTTTAGTTATATATAACATTAGGATACATTTTGACATAATCCCAAAAGCATGGAATACAATTTGTTCCAATTAAGTTCCTAGCAATTTCCTTCTCCTCCCATTTTCTTTCCCAGTCTCCTTCCTCTACTTCATTGATCTTTCTGTAATTTATTTATGGATTTTTAAAAATTAGTGTCTTGTGGATACACTTGATGCTGGGATTCACAATGCTGTATTCATGTATGTACATACAAAATTTTGGTCAGATTTCATTCCACTGTTTTTCCATTTTCTTGTTCTCCCTCCTCCTCAATCCCCTTCAACTACTCAACTGATCTTTCCTCTATTTTAATGAAATTCCTTCTTTTCATTTCTCTTTCTCTGTTTTTCTTTCTTTTCTTTTCTTTTATTCCCCCACATATCAGAGAAAACTTTTGACCTTTGACTTTTTGGTTTCACTTAGCACAATAGTCTCCAGTTCATCTTTTTATTGGCAAAAAAAAAATCCATTTCTTTCTTCATCATGCCAGAATAATACCCCATTGCATATATATTCCACATATTTCTTTATACATTCATCTGTTGATTGGCACTACGTTGATTCCATAGCTTGGCTATTGTGAATTGTGCTGCTATGAATATTGATGAGGCTGCATTCCTGTGGTATGCTGATTTTAAATCTTTTGCATATATATATCAAGATGTGAGATAGCTGGATCATGTAGCGGTTCCTTTCCTATTTAAAAAAAAAAAAAACTTCATAGTGCTTTCTAGAGTGGTTGCACAAATTTTCAGTCCCAACAACAATGTCTGAGTGTACCTTTAACTTGATTTTTTTAAATAATAACTTGACCTTTACTTTGAGAATCTTAATTAAGGCCAGAACAAGCTGTTAACATCAAGTAAGCTGGATCACTCTGGCATTTTTCTGCCACTCCATCTTTAAACTCAGTCAGTTAAAATGTTTCATTTTTCTCTTTCTATTCTGTGGGTTGGACAACTTAGATGTCCAGGCTCAGGTTGACCATCTCCTCTATGTTAAATTGTCAGAGGTAGACTTCTGTCCCTGCTGGCCCTGTGAAAGTGATAGCTCATATCTGCCTCCTGCTGTCATCCTCACTCCTCACACAAGCAACTGTTGTCCTGACCCTCATCTCCACCAATGGCTTAGTCCCATTTGATTGCTCTAACAAAACACCATCAACTGAGCAGCTGATGAACAACAGGTACTCGTTTTTTACCATTCAGGAGGCTGACAAGCCCAAGACCAGAGGCTTGGCATCTGAATAATGATCCTGCTTCATGTTTGGGAGGTGGCACCTTCTCTATACCCTCACCCCTCACATAGTGAAAGGGGACAAGGGCCTATCATGGGTCTCTTTATAAGGAAACCAATCCATTCATGAAGATCCTTACCTCATTAACTGTTCACCTCCTGAAAGGCCTGCCTCTTAGGACCATCACCTGGGATGATAGGATTTTTAACACCTGAATTTCAGGAGAGATACAAACATTTAGAAGATAACCACTGTCCTCCAATTACATGATCCAATATGATACATTTTGGGAACCTGAACACCACACTCATGAACTTTCTCAAATTCTACAAATGTGGTTTTCTCCAGTTGATGAGTATTAGAAAAAAATGCCTTGCCTGCAGCCTTCTGATGTTCCATATAGGAAGCAGATGACATAGTCCTTCCATTATCACAGTCTTTAAAAGTACTGATTTTTAGCATATCCCTGGAGTTCAGCCTAGCCTACTGAGCACTGAGGCCCTCTCCAGAGATCTTCACTGTATGCCCACCAGGCCTAGAAATATTCATAAATTCTAAGAAATTAAGCTGGTTCTTAGATTCCATTCATTCCAACCATCATCATTATTTATGCAATAAATGTACATATGTTATAAATTATGTAAAACAGCACCAACATATGTAGTGAAAGAATGCATCAAATTTGGTCAAATCAAAGAATCAATAGGCAATGCAGGTGCCAGTGGGTGAGATCCCAAAAGGAAGATGTTGTCCAGCCCTGGCCATGATAGTGCACACCTGTCAAACCAAACTAACAATCTTATCAACCTCAAATATAGAATGAGCCCATTATACATTTGGATCATGTGAGAATTTATCCCTATGCTGACTTTAGACTTATTAAAATAACCTTCTGACAAACTTGCTTCCCTAATGATAAGTAGAATATATTGATAGATCCCTAGATGTTTTATTGAATACGAATATATCAGCATAATTCGGTATCTTATGCTCACAAGAGTTTTATTTACATAAGCCCATACCCTCAGTTTCAGCTTATATTATTTATTTACTTATTTTATACTGAGAATTTAACCCAGGGGCACTTAACCACTGAGCAACATCCCTAGCCCTTTTTATTTTTTTTTTATTTTGAGACAAGGTCTCACTAAGTTGCTTAGTGTGACATTCAGTTCCCGAGTCTGGCCTCAAACTTGTGATTTTCCTGCCTCAGCCTCCTGAGTCATGATTACAGGCCAAGTGCCATCAGGGCCACCTCAGTTTTAGTTTATGTACAGACATTCACAAGAACATTTTTTTTTCTACTTCCACAAGATGGAAAAAAAATGGTAAAATTGCTCAGGCAAGCAATTTTTTAATGGATTTTTTTCCAGTGTTCTTTCTTTAAAATTTTACAATATGAATCTTCCATTTATCTAGTGTTCTACCAATGTTCAGTCTTTGGAAGGATTTTTAAGTAACAACTCTAGGTGGAGCTACTCAACAATTATTATTTCATAAAATATCTTGAATACAACTGCAGAGGACAGTTTACTGCAAAGCTTGCTATTGGCTTTTTACAGAAAGTAGCCAAGATATATTGCTATTCAGCAGAAAACTACCTAAACCATTTTACTGTGCCTAATTTACATTCATACATTTGGGCCATGTAAGTACTTATTCCTATGCTGACTTTAGACTTAATTAAATAATCTTCTGACAAACTAGCTTCCCCAATGATAAGAAGAGGTGATCTTTTTTAGGAGGAAATAGTCAAGTACACACTCAAAAAGTTGAGAAAAACAAAAAGGGGACATTGTTAGCCTGGGTAACCCCCAACACCTGAGCCAATACTGCATTCTTCCCTCACATTCAACACTAAATAGCAGTCCGTTATTATTGATTCCATACAGCTGAGTCACATGGAATTCATTCTCCCTGGGACTTGGCCAGAAACAAGCTTTATTAAGCTTTATATCACTTTATCATCAAGGTTAACTCCTCACTCTAAGGGCCATTAAGAGAGCTTTATTATTAGTTTGTAATTTTGTATGTTTTAAGTGGAATGACATTATTTTGCCCAAGTGAATAAAATGAAGTACAGTAATTGTAATTGCTATTGCCAGACTCTATAGTGAGCCTCACAGGATTTTCCAAAAGTCAAATGACAATGCATCATCATCAACCTGGCCACCATCCTGCCACAGTGATTCCTGGCCAATCTCCAACATTCTCCAACAATTCTTGGGTGTCCCTGTAAAAGATACATGGCATGTCATCGTCCAGATTCATTACATTTCTACTTTTTTTCTTCAGTAAAAGATAATCCCTCATCATTGACTCATTTTTTTAACAGAATCCTCTAGTTAAAAATGTATCAAGATGTTACCACAAGATGTCTTGACACTGACTTATTATTATAGAAAGAATACGTTCAAGGAAACTAATGGGGAGCATAAAGGCCAAGTGGCAAAGCATAGTATACACACACAAGATGGATAGCATTGGCAGAGGTGATAAACTGAAGTACCTGAGACTTCATGGCAATTTAAATCATATCCGTTTAAGGAAAGTGTACTGGAGAATTAAGAAGGACCGACACATTACAAAGAATCTGAATATAACAAAGGTAATGCCTTAGGCCTGCATCACCTGGCAGCTGTCCTGAGAAAACACTTTCCCATTTGCTGCCAGTTCCTTCCTCATTCCCCTTCATATTTGCATCCCCTTGTTTAATATTTGTATTCCCTCACTTTACATTTGTATTTCTGCAACACATATAATATTCACATGTGAAAATACATTCATAACCAGTTTGACTTCTCACAGTTGCTTCAACCACTTCATACTCTAGCAAGTCATTGGAATTTTGTTCTACTAACTTCTACTTAAAGGAACCTTGCTTCCCTGGATCTTTGTTCTACTAACATAGACCCAGTATAGATCTTAGTTCTTCTAGAAAAAATTGACTTCTAGTAAATGGAGCTAATGTAAGCCAAACTATAAATGCTATATATGGAAAGGCCACTTTTCCTAGAACCCAAGGATGATCATCTTGTTGAGACAGGCTGAGTTTATATATCATCTTTCATGAGACTAGTTTATAGCAGTTCACTTCACAGTAGCTAAACTATGGAACCAATCTAGGTCTCCTTCAATAGATGAATGAATAAAGAAAATGTATATATATTCAGTGTAATATTACTCAACTTTAAAGAAGAATGAAAGTATGGCATTTGCCAGTAAATGGATGGAGTTGGAGAATATCATGCTAAGTGAAATAAGCCAATCCCAAAAAACCAAAGGCCAAATATTTTCTCTAATATATAGATGCTAATTCACAATAAGGCCAGGAGCACTAGAGAAGAATAAAGTTACCTTAGATAAGGTAGAGGGAAGTGAAGGGAAGGGAGAGAAGAGGATGTAGGGATAGGAAAAATAGTAGAACAAAACAGACATTATTACTTTGTGTATATACGTGACTGCATGACCGATATGATTCTACAACACATACACTCAGAAAAAGGAGAAATTATACCTCATCTATGTATATCAAAGTGCATAAATACATTCCACTGTCAGGTATAACTAATTAAAACAAATTTAAAAAAATTTAAAAAGAAAGTTCAGTTCCTTCATATATGTACCTTGTCATTTTTATTCATTCATATAGATAAATAGAACTTTTCCATGTAGAAAATATTTTGTACTTTTTTAACTTCAGCATCATATTTCATTGTACGAGTATTCAATTTTTTAGTCATGTCCAATTTATGGACTTTTAGATATTTCAAACTTCCTGCCTTTTCAAATTGTGACACAACAATAATTTCACATGTACTTTTTTGTATAATTTTTTTTCTTGAGTACCTGTCAAACAGAATTTCTGGAACCAAGGTATGTGTTTATCTTTGCTAATGAATTATTTCAAAACCTTATGGCTACATACAATAATTATCTATTATTTCTCATGTTTTCTCTGGATTTGAATTCAGATAGGAAACAATGCAGATGTCTTGTCTATTTCCAATTATGTCCAAAGTATGAGTTACAACAATTGGAGTAAGGAGCTCGAGCATATTTGATGGTTGAGTGAATGGTCATCTGTGTAACTAGCTGGGGCTGTCCATGGAAAGCTCACCCATGGTCCTTCAATGTGGTCTATACTTCTTCACAATATGGAGGCTGAATTTCCAGAGAAAGCACCTAAAGAGAGAAAAGAAGTCAGAAGGAAGCCATGGACTTAGTCCTGAAGTCATCCACTTGTCTCCCCCAGTATTGTATTGGTTGAGGCATCCAAAAATCTAATACCAAAGGAAGGAAAAATAAACCATACTTTCTTTTTACTTTAGTTTTGTTTTGTTTTGTGGTACTAGGGATTGAACCCAGGAGCAATTTAACAATGATCTATTTCACCAGTCCTATTTTAAACATTTTTTTGAGACAAGGTCTTGCTACATTGACAATGCTGTCCTCAAACTTGGAATACTCTTGCCTCAATCTCTAGAGAAGCTAGGATTACAATATGGGCCACTCTTGCCAGCTAAAGCCACTGCCACTGCTGCAGCTGCCTCCTCCTCCTTGTCTTCCTCCTCCTCCTTTTCCTCCTCCTCCTCCTCCTCCTCCTCCTCCTCCTC